GACCATGGTTCGGTTCACGAATAATCGCATAAATATTAAATAGTGCGCAGGTCGACGGTTCTCGTACAGTGATTAATTACCGATAAGGCGTATGTATAATTATTTACAATTACGGAAAATATACAAAGGATCTCGGCTCTACGGTGTATAACGTACTCTCAGTCATAAAGACGTTTGATTCTTGCACATGATTACATTACTGAGGTAAGTCTTTACTGTTTCATTTTTTTTTTTTGTTTATTTTTAATTTTCTCTTAATTAATTTATCCTCCTGTGTGGAGAAAGGATAAAAAGCTTCCCGTTCTCGTGATCGCTTTAGAGATCGACGTTACGAAACTATAGCGACGGGGCCGCAACACGAAATCACATTTCGTTGAACGACCACCGGACTGGGTGAAGCGAATCGGGCGATAAAATTATAATTGTCTTATCCTTAAAACGGTCCCATATTATGTTAATAGCGATGCCAGCCGTTTGCGCGTTTCCTTTCGCGTGATCCTTCAAAGTCTTTCTTCTTTCATTTTACACCCTCGTCTTATGTTCATCCGTCTAAAGAGAGCTGTACCGATATATCATTCGAAAATCATCATCCGCGGCCGGTGATATGTCTTTCGCCACTGATCAAAACGGAAATCTACGAAATCTGAGATAATGGATCTTCTCTTAATTTGCGTTTTGGTCTTCCTGAGGCTCTAGGTTCTCGCCTAGCCGTTTCGTTGTACGAAACGAGTTTTTGAATTGTGAAACGTGTTACGAGGTGAGGCCCGACAACATACGTCAGTCTTGTCGCGAGCTTTTGATTTGATTTGATGTAACGTCCGTTGATTATAATTAGAGGCGCGTGAATAACCAATTAGCGTGAACGACGTGACTTTGGAATTAGAATTGATGATTGATTATTCGTTGCTGCGACAAAAGAGGGGAGGCTGCCCCTTCAACAAATTCACTTAGTATACTTTCACTCGTACTTTCATGCAGCATAAACGTTAATGGTCCTTACATTTAGAATTCCTTCATTTGATTCGATTAATTTAATTGTAAGTTTTGAATATGCGTTGTAACCAGTTTTGTCGTGATACAAGTTTTGATATTAGATGTTATCTTAAAACTTAATTTATTAATTTGTATAGTTCTCGTCCAAATTTTAAATCCTCGAAACGTTCACTTAGGCGAACGGTGATAGTAAGACTATATCAAACACCTATAAAAGCTAACAAATTTGTTACTGTTTCCTCTTATGCTGCGAAAGTAACGTTCGTCGTGTTAAATGATTCAGAAATTGATTGGTCCTCGAATTATTTGGATATTCTGGATACTTAGACCAGTTATAAAAATTACAGTTTAGAAAATGTATAGAAATTTTGTATAGCGTTTGATTTCATTCGAAAAAAAGATTCTTCATCTTCTTTTCTTGCACGTTCGTAGTTACAACAACGAATAATCGACTGGTCATGAAATCGAAGTGACGAGTCACAGAAAGAATTCGCGCAATCCTCTTTGCTTTCTTTTGATACTTGCATCTTCTTTATTGTCTGTCTGTTGCGTGTTTAGATCTATCGGAAACTTTATTGTTAACACGTTGCTTATCAAATTAAAACCGGTCATATTTCAATACCGTATTAGTTCAGAAACATAATAAAAAATTCATACGAGACTTCTCGTAAAGAATGAATCATAAAATTTTGTGATTGATACAGTTTTATTAACTAAAAAAAATTTGTAATACTAAAAGTATTAATTCTATCGATTCGAACAAAAGTAGATAACGATTTTACTTATATAAAATTGATAAGCAATGTGTTATATCTTCCCGGAACGAAGTACTTTCTCGTGGACAATGAATTCACAAGATAAGTCGATCAAACAAAATATCCATTTAATACTCGCTGCATTCTATCCTACTAACTTTTAAAAGTTCGCTCGGTTTGTACATATTTATGCGTACATGCTTGTGAAAGGAACATTTCTCACGTCTCGGTGCTAAATTGTGCGATGAATAGTTTTCGATTTTCGCCCCGACGTACGAAAATAAAGGTGAGTTACACGCTATCGTCCGTTCGAAATAAAGCATGCTAAAAAAGAGACCACATGTCGCACACGTGTACTTAAAGAAGTAAAACGATATTTCAATTATTTCAACGCTTTTACTTTTTCTCGTTTAAATGAAAATCGTTTCGAAACTACTCAAAAGACCCGTCTTGTTATAAGATCGGCGTGTGTCTAATTATAGACCAGATTTGACACCTCGCAGAGACCTTGAGCTTTTATTTAACCGGTTGTTTTATGTACACAATTCAACTCGATCTTTTTCCCTCAATGGGTGATCGACCCTTGTCGATTTTTATTTTACCATCTAAGGGATATATCGTTTCGTGATACAAGTTTTGATATTAGATGTTATCTTAAAACTTAATTTATTAATTTGTATAGTTCTCGTCCAAATTTTAAATCCTCGAAACGTTCACTTAGGCGAACGGTGATAGTAAGACTATATCAAACACCTATAAAAGCTAACAAATTTGTTACTGTTTCCTCTTATGCTGCGAAAGTAACGTTCGTCGTGTTAAATGATTCAGAAATTGATTGGTCCTCGAATTATTTGGATATTCTGGATACTTAGACCAGTTATAAAAATTACAGTTTAGAAAATGTATAGAAATTTTGTATAGCGTTTGATTTCATTCGAAAAAAAGATTCTTCATCTTCTTTTCTTGCACGTTCGTAGTTACAACAACGAATAATCGACTGGTCATGAAATCGAAGTGACGAGTCACAGAAAGAATTCGCGCAATCCTCTTTGCTTTCTTTTGATACTTGCATCTTCTTTATTGTCTGTCTGTTGCGTGTTTAGATCTATCGGAAACTTTATTGTTAACACGTTGCTTATCAAATTAAAACCGGTCATATTTCAATACCGTATTAGTTCAGAAACATAATAAAAAATTCATACGAGACTTCTCGTAAAGAATGAATCATAAAATTTTGTGATTGATACAGTTTTATTAACTAAAAAAAATTTGTAATACTAAAAGTATTAATTCTATCGATTCGAACAAAAGTAGATAACGATTTTACTTATATAAAATTGATAAGCAATGTGTTATATCTTCCCGGAACGAAGTACTTTCTCGTGGACAATGAATTCACAAGATAAGTCGATCAAACAAAATATCCATTTAATACTCGCTGCATTCTATCCTACTAACTTTTAAAAGTTCGCTCGGTTTGTACATATTTATGCGTACATGCTTGTGAAAGGAACATTTCTCACGTCTCGGTGCTAAATTGTGCGATGAATAGTTTTCGATTTTCGCCCCGACGTACGAAAATAAAGGTGAGTTACACGCTATCGTCCGTTCGAAATAAAGCATGCTAAAAAAGAGACCACATGTCGCACACGTGTACTTAAAGAAGTAAAACGATATTTCAATTATTTCAACGCTTTTACTTTTTCTCGTTTAAATGAAAATCGTTTCGAAACTACTCAAAAGACCCGTCTTGTTATAAGATCGGCGTGTGTCTAATTATAGACCAGATTTGACACCTCGCAGAGACCTTGAGCTTTTATTTAACCGGTTGTTTTATGTACACAATTCAACTCGATCTTTTTCCCTCAATGGGTGATCGACCCTTGTCGATTTTTATTTTACCATCTAAGGGATATATCGTAAAAAAAACGATTACGCGGTTCAAAAGGGTTGAGAAGAATTTTAACGTGTGATTATCACGGCGCAACACGATGACATCCCGGTAAAATTAATGGATCCTCGTACACTTAGCTCGTTTGTGTTTAAAATCATGAATGAACGGGATGATTCTTCTATAGGTACTGTGATGTCGATTATTTCGTAAAAAATATTCTTTAAAAACTATACCTACGTACTTCTGTTTCTGCGGGTGTGATTTAAAAAACGAAAACGATATACGAGGTGCAAACTTGTAGTCCTAAAATGGGACGCGCGATTCGAATTCGTTACATTATGTATTGTTATGTATACAATTAAGTCTCTTGAAGATACAAATACCTCTCTGAATCTTTTTGCTTTATCACACATCTTAAATCTGTGAATGTTAATGTAACATTAGAAACGATCTCTACAATTCGAAAGTTGCAAGAATCACTGGTGTTCGTCTGCGCGTCATTTTCCTCGTTACAGGAGTTCGGATAAATGAAATATGCACGTCCGTCCATCACTGCTAAATCTACGTTCGGGAGAAACGTGATTTTAAAAAGAAAATCGTAGCTTGCACGCGTTTACGATTTTGTGAACGCGCACGTCGGTTGAAAAAACCTGTTTAACTCATTGATCTCACTTTTCCCATGCAACTATACTGCACAGCTAACGCGAAGACACATAATGTAGGCCAATCTTTTTACTGGCGATCTTCTGATTACGCGGTTATTACATTTTTACAAATTTTGCCACTTTCCCGTTAATTCTATTATTTCGAAAAATATTTCGAGCGCGAATAATATTATTCTTTAAATATACTGAATGAAGCTGAACATTTTATAAAAATGAAGATTTAGTAAATTTTCATTGACGATCTATTTTAAAGTAGTGAGTGGCTAATTATATTACTTGTAAGCAATTAAAATTTTGATTCGCAACGGTTAACAGGAAAACGGCGTTCTATAATCGTACGAGCTATTAGCAAATTATCGCGGATGAATAACGACGAATTATTCTATATGCATATCACGTCGAGTTACACCTCGACCGACTTTCGATCAATAAAAATCTTTTAGTTATCTGATTACATAGTACCTATTCATTTTTATTTGTTTCGTTAATCCTACTTCAGTCGCTTCGATCACATTCGATTGACTTTTCCGCTTGCTCCTTGCTCTCCGATCAACGTTTCAGCATTTCCAACTTTCATTCATGGCTTCATTGATATCGTATTTATGTACACGAAGAAACGAACGCTTTCCGTCTCGGAATGAAAACGTCATAGTCGTCATTGTTACTTATTACTGACTTATTCTTCCGATTCTGTTGAGGCAAATGCAAGAACTTTTTAATAGTACTTTTAACAAAGTGGACCACGACAATAATTTGTCCCTTCTCGTCTTTACAGAGCGATTGCTCGGCATTTCGTGAATTTTAAAATGGAACAATCTTCGTTTCACTCCAATAGAAGGAAAATGTATAACAACAATCAATTTTGCCTAAGATACGTCCCTCCTGTTCAACAATCTTCACTTCTGTATTGCAATCTTCTGTACTTTTGATATCTACTAAATACAAATCACGTTGAGAATTTTATATATTGATCTCCTTAATTTTTAATTGTAGAATTATGCAGATTTACTAGGATATTTTCTTCTCCAACGATCGCATTGCAATACAAAAGTCTACATTGAGTATATTAAACCAGAAATTTTAATCCTAATCTTCATAAAGCTTTAGAATAAGTAGAAGCTCCAAGGGTCGTATTCGATGAAACCAGTTCCAGTTGAATAAAAAATTAATCGCGATATTAAAATTCTCTAAATCGATTCAATATTTTAAACCTCTTACCCGGACCGCCATTTATTGCCGTGGTTGATTTTACCAATGCCGTTCTTACAATTTCATCGAATACATCGTAGGACTTCCGCGCGTTGCCGAAGAAAACACAATGAATCAGTCAGGAATCCAAGAGACAACATGGAACAAGTTACGTTCGCCAACGTTCATCGATCACGAACGCTTTCAACTTTCGTTTCTATCGAGAGAACCATGCACGACCGCGAGTGCAGGCCGATTTAGTCGAGAATCGACCGAACCGGATCACCGACATTGCTTTTGCTCGGCCGCGACAGGATTCTTCGACCTCTTCTCCTCCTGCTTCGAGGCACCACCCCTCTCGGAACCTTTGGTTCCTGTCACTTTGCAGGACCTGCCAGTGGTCTTCTGGTCCTTGCTCGACTCCGTGACCTTGTCCAGCTCAGCCATCGCTTCCTGTATCGCGTTCTCCAGCTGCATGTTCAATTTACGACTTCTAGAAAAACAGACGGGGCAAACAAGAATCGTCGGGTTAGTTCGTGACGAATGGCTCGGTCCAGTTTCAAGTTTCAGTGAGCAATAGCGAAGCGAAGTACGTTTAGGATGCAGCTACACTACTTTTCTAATCGGCGTTAATTAAAGAAATCGATGACACCATTTAGTCTATTACAGATTTATAATGTAATAAATTGGAATAAAGAATTAATTTCTTATATTTCAATTTAATCGGATTCATTTGAATAAGATTTCATTTCTCGTTCTCGTTCCACGATTTCTGCGCAAAAATCTATTTATTCAAAACTAAGATTTTCTGTTTAGGTTTTGAAATTCTACTTTTCAGAATAATTTAAA